CGCCGCCGCCGACGAAAGGCACATGCGGCCAGACATGCCGCAGCGGGAAGAAAAACTCGCATACAGACATCGAATTTATTAAAAATGACAAAAGCACATGCAACATTTTTCAATCTGCTGTTTCCATAAATACCACGTCGTGATTTATCGTTTTCGTTTGCTCATTTTTTCCAAAACCAAATTGTCAAAAACAATCTGCCCCGACCGCCGCAAGCTTGCATTCGTTCCCGCAACATTCAATTTATTTTGTCAACAAATGACAATGTACAAACTTCAAATATGTTAATGTTTGAGTGTTTTTTATCATAGCCAGCAGTCTTAAACTGTTGAAAGGTAAGCGCGAATATACATACGAAAGAAAATCTCGAGGCATCGTGCTTACTAAAAAGCGCTTAACTTGAATCATTTTTGCATCAGCTACTGCGTGCGGCCCAAGAAAATCGAATATGTTCATTTTGACACAGTTCGTGTCAACCCAGATTTGACCTAAACTTGAACTGACAAAATATGCAAAACGGTTTGGGAACAACGACAACTCTGCCCGCGGCAGCACATGCGAAAGCGTAAATAAAAACAGAAACATGTGCATTTTAAATCATGCGGTCACATCGGAAGGTGTGCGTTTCAAGTGGCAGCGTGCATTTTTATGCATGTTAAGTTATTGTTAGTCAAGGTAGTTGAATAATTATGGAATGCAAATCAAAACTTGCTCGCTGATTATTCTTGCAAACACTAATTAATCGCGATAGATACGCTCTTTGTTCCCTCTTTGATTCATAAATAATGAATGAGCTCAGCTGTTTATTGTTTGCGCGCTGTGCCTTTGCATTGGCACGCTGGTGCAATTTAAAAATTTAATTAAATACGCTCGCAAAGTTTATAATGTTTCGGCGATTGAATACAAAACTTGCATTCTGTTGAAACTGCCTCCTACTCGCGACTGTTTACGCAGAGAAATGAATTTTAGAAAAATGTTTACTGATGCATAATTTGATATTCGTGTATTTACGAATAGCCTTCTGCCGCGTGCAGTTGTTGTTGTTGTTGTTGTTGTTGTTCTTGTTCGATAATAAATTTCCTCTGGGATTTTTAAGCGCATTGTCACATACACGCGTGGTGAACGCCAACTAAAGTGCTGTAGTTGATAGTTACAAAAAGAAAAAGAAAGAGGTGTTTGGCTGCTGCCTGAATCGCAATGGAAAAGTTCTTGATTACCTTGTAAATCAGATGATGACGCGGGTTGTCCGCAGCGTTTGCACTGCCGAAGACTTCGCGCGCACAATTAGCGCGTCTTGCGGTCCTCGTTTATGGAACTTCCAATTTGAATAAAGTCGATAGAGAAACAGACGTTGGGGGTCGACAGCACGTGAATCGAACGCCGAATGTGTGTAAAGGGATTGCTAAGGCGACACAGCCCATGCGGTTGATACAAATACGCGAATACGAGCGCCGACGACGAACGGCGGCGGCGGCAGCGGCGGAAGCGTTTCAACGGGTGCGCGCTGCGTACACGAGAAACGGCGTCCGACTGAGCGCGCCGCGGCGACCAGACACTGGTTATATGTGTGCGCGTGGATGATAACACCGTCGGCGGCGGAGAGAGGGAGGCGTCGCGCCGGTGTGCAGCCGATGCATGCGTCGCGAACGCGCGCCAAAAAGGGGTCGTGCCGGATCAACACTCGCGCGCTAACTGCCGCCGACAAAAGTTCGCGCAGAGTTCACACTTTGCTACTTTAATTAATCCCGACAGTGCATAAATTCCTCATCATCGATCATTGAAATTACTCGCGAACAAAGACCTTTACATTTAAATACTTGCATTTTACGCGCACCCATAATATGTTGTTATATTTTCCTTTTATAACACACTTTGAGTACAATTGCGGCGCTTGTATGCAGCAGAACATGAGTTCATTTCTAATTTCGAAAACGTACAAATTCATTCGTTGTAGAATTGGTGTAATTATTGTATAACTCAGCAATTAGCGACTATTTCTCGCTACAATCGCGTTCGTATGTTTGGTGTAGTACGTATCTGTATAGGAGTTAGCGTAATTAGTTTTATATGTCAATGTCGTCTTGTCGCGGCGCGTATATCTTGATACGTTGTGCTTAAAAATATTTAAGAAATTGAATAGCGAAAACAAACATTCATGAAAAGAGGAATAAATTGAGAAAATAAACAAAACGAAAAAAACTTATTAGGAAAGCAACGTATCGCGTCGGTTGGACTCATACAGCACATCACCCTTATCTGCAATTAGTTAAATCTTATGAAACACAAGCGCCTATAAACACCGCAATGAAAAATCTTCCAGTCAGAGTTGCTCGTATATAGAGAAGACTTAAACAATTAAAATACAAGGAGCACACTGACGAAGCCGATAACTCTTCAAGGAGCCATGGAAGTACGATTTCCATTAAACTTGGCATTCGCAAACTTAATGAATACCTACTAACGTCAATTCCAACTTCGAATATCAATTCGATTAGCAGCACTGTTGTGGAATATGCGTATGATTTAGTATGAAGGGAAAATTGTGTCCGCGTCATTAGCAAGGCGATTTGTCGCGGCTTCGTGCGCTAAGCGGCAAATCCTTTATCAAAGTGTGGAGTCGTCGATGTGTGATAAACAAAATAATTTGCGACATAAACGCACTTGTAGGTATAACTTATAGGTGCGATGCAGGGGCATCGCATTTATTGTACTTAATAACGAAACACATATTTACGAGATGGAGGCGTCTTTTATTAAATCAATTGCATATTTAATTAAGAACAATGAATAATACGCTCTACAGCTGTATGATTTGCATATGCGTCCTGCTATGTGTTAGAGGGAAGCGGCGAAGGCTTTGGCCTTCGATTCGCTTCCGGACGCCCAGCAGCGTCGCAGCGCGGCAATTTTGCAGCAACCGCCACCTACTTAAATTAACCCTTTCGGGGTGCTTAATAGTAAACAATTGCAAACGCAAGACCGCAGAGAACCGGGGATGCTTCTCGGCGGTCTGCGGCAACCTTCGCCCAAACATTTTAAATAGTTTAAAATTCCTGGATTTATCGATAGATACGAGGAAATCACAGACTTGTATGCAATATAAAAAATTCATCAAAATATCAAGCACAATTTTCGGAAATCAATTTCTAAGAGTCGAATAAAATCCATTCGGGAGATGATACGTGTGTAAATGAGATTGTTTGGTCCAGAAAGTCTTTGAATATTTGGGTCGTTGTTCGAATAACTCCAGCCACCCCTTTTTCACAATAGATATTAAACCCTCGAAACATAATAATTCTAAATTGTTTAGCAAGTTAACGCGCCATTAAACCGGATGCTGAGAGCCGCACCCTCGCGCAACACCACTCGACACCACTCGCGTGAGCCGAGATGCCTTCGTGCCGTTTGGTCATAATAATGTTGCAACGAGCGGTCGCCGAGAACGTAAATGTTTCCGAGTGTAAATGAGCGGGGCGCAAACGAGCCGGGGGCGGGTATACGACGACGTCTCCTTCAGCGTATGATTGCTGGAAACTCTCTCAGACTATTGTTCCAAACATGCAAAAGCGAATAATTTGCGAATTTATTATAAGGGCAAAAATGCAAATTAAATCATGTTTGACCTAAATGCAGGAATCATTTGCATACGTTCAGGACAACAGATGATTTTATTGATAATGATTTATTATATTGGAACTGATCATTGGGAAGCGGTTAAAGAAACAAGTATATTTTAATAAATAAAGTATTGTACGTGAGGCTGGCGCCATCTAGTGGCTTAATATACAACGACTAAAATAAAACAATACATACATTACATCAAAGTGCCAATAATAATTGATTTCATAATTTCAAAAGATACAGCTCCAAAAAATCAAGTAATTCAAGCTTCATTTACTGTCGATTTTGTTTTACGACGAATTTTTAACGCTTTTACAGGAGTTCAGTGTAATTTTCATAAAAGTTTGAGATTGTAAAATGAAAACCCAATAAAAAGTACTACTTAACACATTCAAATGTATTTTCTAGAAAAAATGTTATTTACGTGTAGGTAGAAAAAAACGCATTAACTTTAGCTGATCATAACTCAAGCAGGTATATGGAATCACATGACGTGCGCGCGTTTAATGACAAATTATTTTTTGCGATTCTCCGTCTTCCGCCCAATTTTACTAAATCCTGCGCCATCCTCGCGATGAGCAAGCAAGTCTTGATGTTTAAATGCGTTTAATATGAGTCAGTCGTTAATCTTGCGTCTTCAGCGTAATTAAAACTATAAACAACTCGAAAACAACCAATGTGGGGTTTGTGGAGCTCTAAACGTCATGCTCAGGACTTCCTGGCAATAGTCTGGGTCTTCGTCGTCCGGGCTTCTCCTGGCATCAAACATGTAATCCGAATGCCGAAAACCAGCACATTTTACACGCAAGAGGTTGAGGTCCTCATCACTTAAAATCCTCACATTCTAATGTTGCCCCTGATTCTCGTTTATTAAAACGTGTTCCCTTGATGTTGATGTTATTCACGCGGGCTATTAGCTTTTCGCCTTATACTCAGAATCTTGGCGACTAAGCTAGGAGGCTGGGGTTTTCCTTTTGAACTATTGTTATTTACTAATTTAGATAAAGATAAAAAATAGCTAAAGATGTAAGTACAACTCCCTAATATAATAAAACTATGCAAGTATGAAGCATTTAAGATTTAATCGGGAGACTCATTATGACACTTAATGAATAGTAGGTACCACCCACGTTTTACATGCTTCATCAGGTATTAATGAGTAGTATTTTAAGGTGTTAAAGCAGAAATGGGTAAAAGAACCAAAGCATAGACAATCTTGTGAAGGGAAATGTGAAATTTGCCTGCAATCTAGAGAAAAATTAACGACGCGTTTCACGTCACCCTATAAACAGAAAAAATCATGTAAATAACAAACTACGCATGCGCAAAGTATAAATATGATGGATTGGGTTGAAAACACTCTGGATACAAACGCAATTCGTTACACCATTAAATATTTATATAATATTGTAATACGTGTTACATATTGACTATTTTATAAAACATCAATAAATATATAATATATGTATTCTGAAATATTTATAATGAGATAATTCGATCAGTTGATCATATAGTTGTTCTTGTTTCTGGCCAAGAGTATGGTTATCGATTATGATTATTGTTTTAAGAGTACATACATCACGTTGAATCTTTAGAAAGTGTAAGTGAAGATTTCCTTGGGCCCAGCACGCTTTCCCAAGAGGAAGAAAATTCATTTTTAACGTAATCGAGAAACAGATATACCTTCAACTATAACATTGTCAGAATGTGTGTGAATCACGAGTCTTGAAAATGACTTTAGATATTTTTCTTTACCTTTCAGTTTTTTTGCCAGTCTTTTTGTTGTATTGTGCTTATGTCTTTGCTTGAACATGAGCAGATAAAATTGAGACATAGATGATTATTAGCAAAATATAGATTATTTAGACATTTAAAATGTGTAGTTGGCAATTCCACATGAATACATCTACAACGTAGACCGTCAAGATAATTTCCGAAAATAGACGATTATCAATGCGATGAAATTATAAACGTTGTAATATAGCCGCAGACGTCAGCCGACGTTTGTGTATTCCTCTGTGAAGTAAATCGTGAAACGATAAAGATTTGCATTTCCAATCCCAATCATTTCATTTTCACGGCGTTATAACTTTATTTTCCAGCATTATTTGCGTCAGCCGCCTTCTGATTGTCGTCTTCTTCGTCACGCGTAGATTTATAATCGCCGGGGGGTTCGATGCTCGGAGAATTCAAGGGCTGCGCTTCGATAATATCGTTGTAGTCAGCGCGATTCCACGGTTGCTCCTCCCCACTGGCGAACATCACGTATACAAAAATTTCAATCAAGTACAATACGATAGTCGTCCAAAAAATGATTCGCCAGGAGCGCAGTGACGGCTGTAAATAAAATTTAAACGTGTTGCGTTTTTATTGACATTATTCGCATTTTACTTACGTCCTTTTGTGTAAGCTCGCCTACAAAGAGAGGCACAATGATACCAGGAATGGTCGCAGCTGTATTTGTTAACGCCATCAGAGTGCCGGCAAAATTCGGTGCGATGTCGATATGATTCGAAAGAAAACCGCTGAACATACCGCCGATTACAGTCACCGTAATGGTCATTAAAATAACGGCAACGTATTTCATGCAACCAATGTAAATCATTGCCATGAAGCACAGCATCGGGATGAAACTCGAGATGAACGTTGCGGATTTGCGAGCGCAAGTCGTATCAATGATTTTCCGAGAACGAAGGTTGTCCAGGGTGCGGCTAAGAATCAGGCTGTAGACCCACATGAGGAAAAACGGCACCGCAGTAATGATAGCGTTAGAAGTTATTTGGAATTTTTGTACGCTTTTTAGATAGGTGGGCAACTCTATGAGGACGACATACCATCCCCAGTTGTTGCAGGTATGTGCAACAAAAATCGCTAGAAAGGGAGCTGAAGTAAAAACAGACTTCCACGGGACTTTCATCTTCTGGAAGTCGTTAATAAAGATAATTACTTTAAGACTGTTGTGTAAGAGTGTATAACACCATCATACCTTAGAGTTTTTGGTCTCCTTGCCCAAAGAGCCTACAAGAAACAATCGTTCGTCCTCATCAATGTAAACTTGCTTATCTGGGGTGTCCGCAATGAGGAGGCCCCATAAAACTAGCCAGACGCCACTTGCACTGCCCATTACATAGAAGACACTCTCCCATCCCAAGGTCCCTGCGAGGACCCCCGTGGAAATCATACTTACTACAGTACCCAGGGCGGTGCCAGCGTAGACAATACTGATCATTACACTGCGTTCTCCCGGTGGTGACCAGTGTGCCAGCAAGACGTGCATGGCAGGAAAGGTTACGCCACCGCCAATGCCCTCGCAGATACGCATCACCAGCATGGCAGCAAAATGTAACTTTGCCGCCAAAGGAGTGAGGACTGTGCAGGCAATGTTGATCGCCACAGCAAAAAACATCACCCATTTGGCGCTGAACAATTCCGCGATTCTACCACCTGGAATCTGCGCTAAGATGTACCCCCAAAAGTAGGAACTCAGCATGGTACCCTGCATAGTTCCGGGCCATGTAAAGGGTCCATCCTCAAAAAGCAGAACAGGCATTAAAATAAATTATAACGCAATCGTACAATACATTAAAATTGCCTAAACTGTTAGAACGGAGATGATAAGTCGCATTTACCTAACTCGAAATACGTGCACATACAATTAACTTACTTCGTGCCTGTCAGTAATGTTTCCGCCATCTCCGGCATAGCAAGTGTCGTCATTCTTATCAGCGGGGGTGTGCCGACGGTTTTCGTAGGAGAGCGCAGTATGGTTGAGCATGCTGATGATGGCAACGCTCAGGTTCACTTTGAGTCCATAAACGATGGCCATGCCGAGGGAACCAAGGACAGCCAACAGATATCGCGCTGAGATGAACCCTGAAAATATATGCAATCACCCCACGTTAGTATAAAACTTGTTGCTTCGTCGCTTTCGCACGCTCGCGCGAATGTTTGCTTACGACCGAAAAGGTTCCCTCGAGCCGGAATCGCTTCGCTCATAATTGCTACTGTAGATGCTTCTGTTGACTCGGAAGTGTTTGCCTATAATTATGATATTAAATCAGTGATAACACAGTGCCGCAATACAGGAGACCATATGGTAGACTTGCGCAACATGTGAACTAACTTTTTCGATACTTGTTGATTGCGACGGAATTTCTACCAGCATGCGCTGCTCGTGGGACAGGTGCGTTTACCACTGCTCACAGAATTGTGGCCTTTGAAGAACTATTTGTCGAATGTGGCAAGGCAAATAAATCGTAGACTTGTCGTTGCCGACTGTTAACGATACCGATGGCACATATAGTCACCAACATCACTGTCCGTCGACTGGCAGCGGTGCGCGAGATAATGTGAGGCTGAATCGGGAAAACGAGGACGGCAAGGATGACGAGGAATGCCCGGCGCGGGATCGATAGAATCCCTACTACCGTTCACACAGTTGCAGTAATCAGGAGCGCGAGCGACAATTTGCAAATTGCCTGAAAATAATCTTGTGTACCATTAAAAGTATTAAACCACATAATCAATTCGCCTATCTGCACAGATGCCAATATAGATTACAAACAGAACTATATAGTTCATTCCGCTCTGCTGATTTAAAAGCAGACAAAATTTCAAAACAAGCAACAGAAAAAAACCAGGGTCTTCTAACATTTTTGAACTATTCCCCCTTTACATGATGGGTGGAATCATATTATAAACAATATGTGATTAAGCAAATATAGTACCCACGAACTTTATGGTGCACATTCCAAGTCTCAATTTGTTAGTATTTTGTGATTAATCTAACCCAGCAAAATAAATTCTAATCGAAAACGTGCAAGATAAAACTGTCGTCCATCATCTTTCAATCATACTGGACTTAAGCAACAGCATTTTCTAAATGTCTATACCGAAACCTCAACCAAATCATAACATTGAATATAAAAAAAAAACAGTGTCCACTGATAACAATTCTAAACAATTGACCGACGGTAATAGACTCCATGCAGAGAAATATTTATAAACTTCTAAAATAAACAATAGTTCTATACATGAGGGAGCTGGTGAATATAACAATATGAACATTCGTTCGTTTGTTCAGAAGCCACTACAAGGATCGGTTATATAAACCGTATTACATAAAAGCATTGCAAATCTATATCAATATCCTTAGAGTGGCTTCTGAACAATTGAATGTTCATATCATATTGATATTTATAAACTTGTTTTCTACAAAAGTGAGCATAATTTACTGCCATTAGAATTTAATATTCCATGTAGGTATGTACTTTCTACCTGCTCCTTGACATTTATACATTATTCACGGAATATTAGCGCCAATCAGCTTGGACTGTCTAAGACAGAAGAAGTTACGCATCTACTAGTAAAAAGATATTTCTTTAATGAAAAGAGCTGCAATTCATTTTACAATCTTTAAATAGCAATTAACAAATTTATAAGTACATTATAGTTTTGTGTTAAATTTGATTCAGTCCAGATTAGTATAAAAATTGATGGTCTTCAATCATCTCACTCATAATAGCACATAGCATTACACAGTGCCTAACATAATTGACTTTACTATTACAGCGTGTAAACATTAACTTTGATGTTGTCATTTTTGTCATACTTATATCATGGAGATGAACACCAGCCAATGCGTCGCTAACAATTGGTACACTCTTGGAATTATTGCATTACCTTTCAAATTTACTCTTACCAAATCTCAATGGATGTGAGTTTGTGATCATTAGATTATAAAGCAACGAATAATAAACCCCTACCGTAGAAAAAATATAATGTATATAACAAATATACAATACTTATAAACACTCGTTGCGTACCTCGTTTTTTACACTGCACATCGCAAGTCTTACATTTCATACTTTGTCATGATGATTTTCTCTGTCTGGATATCATGCAATTTATCTAAGTAAACTAAATTAATTTCATTCTTGTTTAATCTGTCCTTACAACATACTTCAATGTGGAATGTTATCCGTAACGGCTAGAATGTTGACATTTTTGTACAATACAAAAATCGTGAATAAAACTCCTGACACAACTGGACTAAGACCCAATATAACAGTGTAAAAGTTTTTAGATTCGAGATTATACCAACAATTATAAAATATACGAATAATTTAACTATTAAATTATATATAGAAAACATAAATACCAATCCACAGGGCAATAAACATAGCATTTGAAACTAAATTGTGCAATTGGTGAGGACTAACAATAAATATACAATTAAAATGAAAAAAAAAATCTTTGGAACATGAATTGCATTCGAAATGATTTATATCAACGGCAAATTGTGGCGTCGCAGGCAGTTTCATTTATCGTTTCATAAACAATGACTTAAATAAACTGTGAGAATATATACCCGGAATCATTTTATCGCATTCAATAATGGTTATTTTCCATTGATTCGAATGCGTGTTAACTATCTAATTCTATCTGGGCACTGAGTAACGAGTTTCTTCTTGCCAACTGTTCGAGCAAATCCCAACGATTATAATATAACTATCAAAATAATCAACTTCAATAACAAAAATAGAAATGTCAGGAGTTCATCCTTATTGTTGCGAACGATCAAGTTTGCTTCAATGGTTTAAGCCAGTATCCAATTCAAGCAGTTGCTTGCATAATTCGTATGTGGAGAACGAGACGGCGACCATCGGAATTGCGCGCATGTAATTGATCGACATGCCTCGGTAGAGTCCCTTGACCACGCCATGTTCACGATAAATAAACTTCAGTGTCGACACCATACCCTTGGCGTAGTGTTTTGTTTCGGGTGACATGAGCGCAAGTTGCATGCGTCGCCGCGTGACATCCAGCGGATAGCTGATGCTCTGTGCAACCGCGCCCGCAAACCCGCCACAGATCAACTTCGCCGGCAATAAAAGCACCAATCCTCCAGTGTTTTGCTTGCAGGGCTTACACGTATACGCAGGCAAATACTTCATGCAACCGAATTTCAAATACTCGAAGCAATAGAAGGAGAGGCCCGCGTAGGGCACCATTCCCATCAAAGTGGGCACAAACCCACGATATAAAGCGCGAGCACCACCTTCCTCACGAAAGATTGTCACCGCAGCATGGGTGATTCCAGTGTATACGTGCTCACCACTAATCTGTAAACAAGTTTTCTATTACTACAGCATTCATCACATATAAAATATCTGCATTACTTGAAAGGCAAGCCTAGCACGAATTGTATCTAGCGGGTATGTCAACGTCACCGATGTGAGGCCAGCAGCTGCTCCAGCAAGAAATTTATCAATATGCGAGTTGGGCCCGAAAACACCGTGTAACCATCTCTTATAGAATTCGAAGGAAGTAAATTGGGTTGCGGCGTACGGAAATATGCGCACCATCTGAGCGCCATTTCCCTTGTAGAGAGCTAACAACGATTCACTTTTGACAATATGACGAATGCCCGAAAACACACCATTGCGTTCGTGGTGGCGATTATGCGCCTGCAGAAGGATTTTTACACGGTCCAGCGGTGCCACTGTTGTCTTAGACACCATGCCAGCAATACCTAAAACCACAATATTGCGAGTACATTATTATTCTTTTCAAACAATAAAATAAGCTGCATAACTAATACGTAAGATTTCTTCAAGCAAATGAATGGCATTACGTCAATGAACTACCTTGACTGGGTAATCAAAGATTGCCCAACCATCAGAGAGGCCACAAAACACCGTCTACAAGATGTATGCAATTAAACGTCGGTGCAATTTTATGAATTTACAGCTTCATACGATGATTATCGTCACAAAAATGAAAGCACGACCCACATCAGTACAAAAATGCAAAATTATTACGCCGATGTTAAACCGCTCAATCAAGACCAATTTGCCTGGTTTTTTGAACACAAGGTATATGAAATGCGGTTGCAAGCAATGTAAGTATGAGACGCGCAGCAGAAGCTCCAAAGAAACGACTTTCACTTGACTTATGCCAGGTTGTGCGCTTTGTAAACTTGTTGATTTCACATACTATTTTGCAGTTGTTGCGCACAGTTCAAGCGTAATTAAACGCAGTAATGAATAATCAACAAAAGACAGTCGCGTAGTAATTCATACTCTGTGGTATTGTTAGCAGCGAAAATGCTTGTTTATAACTTACCACCCGCAAGCAGATTCCTCGCGATAAAGTTCAAATCCCGATTTTCCACTTGAAGCGACATTTTTCGATGTGAGAGTCAAATTATAATAATGTCAACTTAAAACTTTCATATCCATCCAATCAGAGAGGCGTTGTGGCGGCCTTAATGTCCAGAATGGAGACGCACGGTCTTCGGAATGTCAGGTGCGAGCTAAAAACACAACAATAAATATTAGAAAAGAATTTCACTTTTTATTGTCATAGTTTCCATCGGTAGATTTCAAACGGCGAGTGCAATGTCAAAAAACGAAGAAAGTTCCGCCTGGAAACGAAATCTGTTGACGCTGCTAGCAGTTTTTATTTCAAAACAATCGAAGATGTTAAAGTTGACAAAATTACGACGTGATCCGTGTGCTTTGAATTATGTAAATCATATTTTTGTTCAACTTTCTACACACATTTCTCAAGCGCGCAAAAATTTGCTTTCCGATGACTATTAATTATACATAAGAGGCTTAAAAACTGTGATCACTAAAAACACCAAAAACAAATCGTTCAATTTAATTAACTAACCAACTTTAGTGAATAGTCTTCACAATAATTAACAACAAACAACAGTTAGCCGCGATTGGTTTTCACTTGGCACCTCAATAACCTGTCGCGTGCAGTCGAGGAAGAAATGTGAGAGAAAGTGAATTATAATCGGGTATGGCATGCTTTGACCATGACACTGACTGCAATCGTAATAAAGCCAGTGAACGAACTGATGAGTCGATGATACAACGAATGGGTACACTTTCCACGAAAAAAACTTCAACTCACGTAGGCTTGGAAGGAGCCAACGATGGCACTCTCGATTTATATAAATGCACGCCGCACATTCCGGGCATATCCGGTTTGCCGCAGATCATTGGTTGCTAATCGCCATGGCCGACTAGACATTTGTTGATATCAGCACGGCGATTGGAACTATGTTTATATTAATAATATTAAGTTGTGGAGTAGTATCAGCTATGACGCTGCTAGTACATAGAAACATCACACACACAGTGCTAATGTTGAATGTATTTTTGTGCATGCATGAATTTTTATTTTATTGACTTGACTTGTTATAACAATAACAATATTCGATAGCAAAACAAATATTCCTTGTAATCAAGCAGGCACTGAGGATAAGTACGAAAGCAGCGTAATTTCTCACGAAAATTGTGTATTTGTAACAATGCACAATAATTATTCCTAATTATTTTCTAATATAATGACGAAATGGCCAACATCAGTAGTATCATTTGGCAGCATTAAATTGAACGCAGAATCAAGATGATTGTCGCATAATTGCCAGCCGAATACAATTAAATCAATCTCGGTAATTCCGCTCATACCAATGCGTGTTTGCGCGCACACATCGCGTTTCTAAAACTTTCAACATGTTTTTCACACTCTACTTGTCCGAAATGTAGCTACCTGATAAAGCCACTGCAAATTATGAACTATTATATTCAGAAATTCTAGTCATTCGTGATTTGACTCGATTTTGAAGGGATTTTACGGGGTTTCTGGGCTTGGAGGTTATGTGTAGCGCAGCTGATGTTTATGAAGCAGAAATCAAAATATATTGTGATAAAAAAGACGTGCTAAAAGAATATAACTTACTTGATTAAGATTCTGATGTGATTGTAATCCAGGTACACATTGTCTGTGAATCAGACGGCGGTGAATTTGGTGGGGTATATACAGCGCCAACCAGGAACATCAGCAACACGAGGAACGATTGTACAGCGATATTGAATGAGGATGAGCTGAACGTACCCGCGCCCGACGCGTTTCAACTTTCGACTGAATGTTAGACGTGTTTCACGCTCGTTTTATTCGATGTTTGTAGTCCCCGCTACAATGTTTTTGAAAACCATTATACATACCCATACGTTTTAATTAATGAAAATTGTAAATTTGTACATCTAACATACCTTTATTTGTGGACCACAAAGACATTTCAAAATTATTGTTCCTGTCTTCTAAAACAGCATGCTGACTTGAATGATAATAAGAAGATATGAAAATATTATTTATTTAATCATTTATTAGTTAACGTTAAAGTGAGTTGAAGATGCCTGCAAACATGTTCAAAAACAAAAAATCACAGCACACTAAAAATCTTAAACCCAAACACAGAAAAGACGATGTAGTTATTCTTATTCTATGTTATTCTTCTGATAATACCTTAGTTTATAGATACATTCATATTAAAATATTTTCATTTCAGATTTCAGTGGTATAAGTATTTTATACTTGTAAGAATAAAATAATCCGGAAATACTGCATACTTTTCTAATAATTCGAGTTAATGTGACCAGGAATGATATACCATTTGCACTAGTAACGACAAACTAGCATTTCAATGTGAAATGTGAATAAAAATTTGCTAAAACTATTATAAGTTGATTATATACTTACATCAGTAATTAACAACAATGATAATAAATAGAAATGTATCCTATAAACCTTAGTAATAAATTTTTAAAATATATAGTATTATTACGGGTTTTTAATGGCATCATAACTTTTAACATTTATAAGAAAGAGATTATAATAGGACCAAAATAAATAGTGTAACAATAGTAAGAACAAACTATTTTTTCAAGAATTTCTTTCTTAATTATAATGGATGCTCAATCCGGTATGGTCTAGTGGCTAGGATAGCTGGCTCTCACCCAGCAGGCCCGGGTTCGATTCCCGGTACCGGAAACTTTTTGCCACTTTTGTCTCTTTTGATATTTTGCAACAAAACAATAAAATAGTGATTAATCTGGATATTTATATTCATGTACTATTGCTTTTTTTTTAGTTGCTTTTAGTACACTACTTCGCTCTTAATGTTCGCTCTTATTTTATTTGCATCGTTTTCGATCGGGGTTAAACTTGGCTAACCTCGGATAATATAACATATCATTTCAATGGCAATCGAATATTTTCGGACGGTTGTTTTGTTTTGTGACTATTGTTTATTCGACAATATCAAGATGGCTTTAGTGTATTGCGTGTTGCGTACAATTTGTTTAGTAGCGGGTGCCATGATGCCATTTAATCGCGGTGGCGTTGATCAACCATCTCTAAAAACCTAACCCTTTTGGTGGCGCGGTTGAAGCTGACAGACGCGTTTTTGAATTACCTCTTCGAAATATCTAATACAATAAAAATTAAACAACAAGATGATGGACGACTACACCCCGCAGATCTGTAACCATAAAGACTGCGGCAAGGTATTCGAAAATGTGGCGCAGTTGATCATGCATATGCAGGTTATACATTTTGGTTAGTATTTCAAATTAACGATTCCAAATACCGTAATAGGTTATGTTGTTTTCTTTTGCTTCTATTTTATACAGAGCCAGAGGTAAACTACGACATTAGTGACGATGAAGAACTTGAACGAATTCGTATCAGGTCAATCGAAGCATACTATAGGTACCGGCAAGGTAAGTTGCATATTGTCACAAGAACTCTATACAATTGCGTGTGATCTCTACAGGTTTTGACGTATATGCTTCATCCTGGTCTCCTACTCAACAAGAGGTCCCGGCGACACCTAACTACAGCTACTTTGATTCGTGCGTTGCCCTAGCTTCCTTTCAATTATTTTATATTGATTCCGTAATATTTTTCACAGTCTGGTTCCAACAAAAAAGGAGAAACATTTCCAGTGCACCTACTGCGTTCGATCCTATAAGACTTTTCGTAATCTGAAATCCCACCACATTCAGTCTCATCCTAGATTCCCTCCGCCAATTAATCCATCGCTGTTAAAGCAGGGTCGAACTCCAACCGCCTCCTTACCACCACGCCGTCATAGTTCCGATTCGTCCTCCTCGCGTGAAAATTCCAACCCTGATGACATCGTCCATATTCAAAGGTTTTCGTTGTATGACTATGCTCCCAGAGAAGATCCTTCAACGTCTGGGGCGGGTCCTTCGAATATGCAACACATGGAAATGGCTGGTCCGATGACCCCTCCAGGTACTCCGCCAGGTCCAAGTTCTCCAACCGAAACTTCGCCGGCTGAGTCCGACTCGTCCAGCAGTGATGATGACGACTGAGCTTGAAGATTAGCATTATATTGTAGACCTAGTAAAGTAAGAGTATTCTGTTAATCATATTTTATAATTGTATTTTTATAAAATAAAATATGTTTAATTTGAAAATGTGTTAAATTAAAACGTTTGAATTCATGAGTAGTACAGTAATGAGTACATGCTTGGAATGAATTCTATAGCAGGTTGAAAACAAGCGCATCTTTGAAACCAGTGAATCTCGGCAATGAACAATTGAAAGGCAAGAATACAGTTTAATTTTTTTAAATCCGCCCCTGTTTATATTCCTTTACATAGCTAAATCGAATTTTCCCATCGTCAACAGCTAATGCTTAGTTTATTTAGTTCAGTTATGCGGCTATAATAATTTAGCGATCATGTGATCGGTATACAAATATAAGTTAGATGCGTTATTTGCTCTATTCTTGAATTATGTGCGATTTGCGATTTATCCCGATTATACGATCAAAATTCATCCGATATATGTATTGCGATGATAACTGATTTGTCCGAGAAAAAAGAAAACGCTGATGATAAAGAATTTAAAACGGTTGAAGAAGTGAAAATGGCCGGTGTTATATGTTTTTGCTTGTTTTGTAAAAGGATATATTTATCAGAGACGTAGGCGGAATCTTGCAGTCTTCCCACACTGTCTTCAGCTCTGGCGAGTCCTTGTGAAAATGCATTTTGTGCTTCCCTACAAAAAAGTAATTACTTCTTCTATATTTATTTTATTTATGTTTGAAATTTGTGTTACTCACCCAGAATATTTGTTGTAATATGGAATATTGAACCTTGAGTGAATTATTTTCCACCTATTCGATTTGAAGACCATGTAATAGCATGAATATTCTTATTTCTAAGGAAATTGAAGACTCATTGCTACACTTTATTGGTTGAAATTGATTTCTTGGACTAGAAGTTGTAATTGAATTGAAGAGGTTGCAAAAACACGTGCGTTCGTTTTAGGTTTTTGTTCTGGCACAAACTCTGTAAACTCAGAGCTTTTGCTGAGAACATACAAAAGAAGTAGCATTGCTTTTTAAGTGTTACTAATGGAGGGCAATATTCACAAATTAATAAGAACACAGAGAAAGTACTTGAATATACATACACATTTTTACAGCTTTGATTAAAACGAATATGTTACTTCAGCTAAATATTTTTGGATATGCGTTCGCAAAATATAACTTCGAAATTACAAGCATCTATATTTTTGTTTCTCTTCATTTTAAAAACGTGAAGAATTGGCCGATTTTGCCGTTCATATCTGTAAATGGTTCCCTATCAGGACTTTCTTTAAAACTCATTTTAAAACATTTAAATAAAATTAATCAAACAAATTTTTAGACGCTCCTTCTGTTATTTAAAAATTTCATCCAATTAACTGACGTTTATTTTGCAATTTTTGATTCTAGTGTAATTTTTGATTTAATCGTATGTTTTGCACACAACGCATTTTTACAATTGAAAACGCTGCAAACATTCAACAAGCAATCTTGGAACATCAATGTTATAATTGCTTGCTATATTTTTCTGAAAAAGTTATTTGAAATTTAATAATCGCATTTTCTGTACAGATAAAAAAATTATTTATTATGCATATAAAATTAACAGCAAATTGTTGATAGACTATTTCTTATAGCTAATTACATCAGTCTTTGAAAATCTGTTGAATAATATTTTTAGTTTCATCCAGAATTTCACCCATAACTGACTCTGGCACCATGTCTCTGGCAGGAACTATGAACTTCTCCTCTAAATCAGACACGCTGATATATTTATTGGGACTCTCATCAATTGCGTTTTGAAGCATCGAACGGACTTGGTTACGCCAACCACAGTCCACTAATACTTTATGAAGATGTTCTGATATTCTAAAACACACACACACGCACCACCAATGAAGAATATGCTGTTGCTGGTACTATTCAAATATGCAAATATTAATTACCTGTTAAGGACTCCCACTTTATCCAATTGGTACCTTAGTTTATCTTCTCCAGCCATTGTTTCGCGTTCGTTTTAATATATCAGTAATTGTGCAGATCGTCAACCGTCGTTCCAGACTTGAAAAGAATCTCATAGGTTATGTTACAGCGCACTGAATTTCAAATTTCACTGTAGGGGATTTTAATTTGGCAACCCTGTAAAACTCATGCAACTCGATTTCTTGATTTCTTCGTATTTTTATTCCATAGTAATGCTGTATTTATATTTTATAACATGGGATATTTTCAGGAAATATGTTTAATTTCAATCGTATATTTATGATATATTACGATATTACTGACGATGCCTCCGAGGCGAAACATGTTTAACTCAAAACAAAAATGTAATTAAAGCACGTAAAATTTAAATAAATATAATAATTATGATATAGATAAAAAAGTTGATTCAATACTATAAAACAATGAAAAACAAATTTCCTAAATATTAGGTAATTTATCTAATTTATTAGGCCACTTCTAATTTCACTAACTGAATATACTAAAATTAAAAATATGTTTCTTACTGCATTTAGTCCCACCACTTAGCGAAAAAAGTTGATTTTATTATTCTCTGAGACCTTCCTTCTTACCTACCTACCTACCTTCCTACCTATATTGGTAGGACAACCATCGCCTGCGATTTGTTAGAAATCGCCCTTACGCTACGCCTCCCAAAATGTGTCCTATTAGGGGTCCAGCCAGTTGTTATCACAAAATTACTCACCAGACACTACAAAGCACTAGATACAATAAGATCGAATCTACATTATAGGTACACAATGCAAAGATTGAATCTTTAGTATAGATATACTCAACAATAGTTAAACTCACTCAATGTAAATTCAACATAATCTATGATTTTGCCTTATATTAATTTATTCATTATGAAATACCTATATATGGTTGTACTTACTTCGGAAGTACTCAATATCTCGTTTAGGCGCCCACACTTTTGAAACACGTGGAGAGTCACAGATGTCTCGCTTTTGACTGTTAAGTTTTTGCGCTGTAGTCTTCCGCAATTTTTCAATCAGCGCTGTGAGTGCGCACCTGCCGGGTATTGACGCCTGCGCTTTGTTTTTTCCTTGCATCGAACACTATTTTACCAGTTGCGCTAATTACAAAAAAAATGACTAAAGGGGAATTGAGATGAATTTCACTTGCATTTACAATAAGGAATACACGGAAGATTTCCTTATTTTACACAAATTAATAAAAATTTGAATTTTTATATTTTTCTGCTGTGGTTGCATTGCCTTATAAATTAAATCTTGGACCTCTCTCTTTGGTCCTATTTGTCATTTTCTTTGGTGAATATCACTTGGTTGGACCTCGACTATTTACCTAATCTTTTGATTTTTGCACATATTTCGTACATGACTATTTACTTATTTATTATTTTTTATTTAGTATTTACTTTTGTTCTTATATATTCTTCTTCTTTTTGATTTTCTTTCTTCTTTTTTTGCTTCCCAGTTTTTTTTACCACTTTTACCCTCCTTTTGACCCTACCACCCAACTTCTGACAAGTCTATTCGTGCTTAGTTTAATAAACAAAATCGTGGAAAGAATATCCATATTATTTATCTGTAGCATCCAGAAATACAAACGAATGTACACCTGCTCATTTCTTCACTTTAAACAAAGTAGGTAACGATTTTTTTCAATTATTGGGGTACTTTTTGTTTGTCTGATGATTTTAATACAACTTAAGAAAGAAAACGATGCGTGTTGCTTTCTGTAACAATTGACGTAATAATAATTTATAAAATTAAGACAAATATCTTATATCTTTATTCGAAAATTGTTATAGTGCATATATGTACTGTTTGAAAATTTCGTTAAAAGTGGTCAGCCATTAGAAACCGTTATCAGTAGCATTCAGTGCAAGACCCAATACGATTGTTGATAAGACATTCGTTGATTTCCGCATACATTTAATTATTAAAAAGAAATATGATTTCCTCTAGAGCTACATTGTTAGTTTCAGGCTTTCTATACCATGCATAGTCTTCATAGTTTGCCGGCCTTGAACAGAATTTAAAGAAACGTCGCAGGCGTTATTGTGATTCTTAAAAATGCGATTCTGTGAGCAAAAAAAATAAAAATTCGATAATGAAACCTTGAGTTTTGTCCAAGTATTTGTATGCTCAGCGACTGTTATGTTTATGTTTTATTTATGCGTTTCGAATTTCATATGCGTCTCGACGTTTATCTCATTTTGCAACGGTGTTCTCTGATAAAAGTGCAATGATCGAGACAACCGGTATAGTCAGTTATTGGTGCAAAGTGGCGACACCTGTACCTAGAATAAGAGAACGATATACACTGTGGTATTCTGTATTCCAATACAGATCTGTGCTGTTAAACGCTCGCACTCACAAGAGAAATTTTTGAAATCTTAACCTCAGATGGCAGCATAACCAGACGAAGTGGATTTGAATCTACTGTGACGCTACCCCAAACTTTTATTTCTCTAAACGTCTTAAGTTAAATTTTTGTTCTTGTTATAGGAGATTATCGTATCGTAATCTCGACGATAATTCAGTGCTAGTTGTCATTTTATGTGAATCTTGCTTGAAATACCTTTGTGAGTGCTTTCGGTTTTCTAATCCCCCTGATAAATTCAACACGTATACAGGCAATAAGTAAAGTTTCCAATTATACCTTAATGTTTGGATTTCCAATGTAAGTCTATACCGTGTTAATACATATCACTAAAAAATTAGAAACCTGTAACAGATTAATAAAAAAAACTGATTAGAGTGTACATAATGAAAAGCAGATTAAAATCTAAAGTGGGAATTCATTATGAAAGGATGAAAAGCTTATATTCAATAACATATTGCCAAATTTCAAACATTCAAATGTTTGCTTCAATATTAACATTACATTTAATGTATAATGGGTTGCCTAGGTGATGTAAGCAAATCCAATGTCTTCTTTACTTTATAAATGGAAACTGTGGGAAATATATATATATTGTATATCGAGTATGTCAAACATTTTTTCATGTGAATAGTATCTATAATATCCTGCACCATAATATCACAATGAAAATACAAAATACACATTTGTGCGATTACTCCCTTTCAAGTTCTGCAGCCATCAATATTTTTTTGAAGGCGCGCGAACTTCATAGTAAATGAGCGTAACCTTACATTCAAGAAAAGGCAATACAGCATGGCCGTCGTTGTTACATGACACTTTTGCATGGATGCATAGAGCGACCAGCATCACTAGCCATCCACCTCTAGGCCATCTATCATAGAACAAGAGACAGAGAGCAAACGTAATCAACTTATTATTCAACAGTTTTATGCGTGGCTATAGTATTGATCGAAGAGCTGAGCCCTGAAGTGGGGACGCGTCTGCGCAGAATTGATGCCTCGAACTTGGGAACTAGGCGTAATCCCAGCATGTGGTGGCATCCCATTCCCATGCAACCATTCGATTCCGCCATTCCGCATCCGATTGCGCGCGAGCTGGCGTGCTGGCGGTGCCTCCTGCTTGCTTCTTGTGGTTGTGGACTGTTGCCGTTCGAGACCACGCCGAGGTTCATGCCTCTTTGCTCGCTGGAATATAACGTCTAACTGTTCTAACAGACATTGCCACGATTGCCCAACGTGACTACTCGGAATAAGAAATCGACGACGATAGATTGCGTTGGCCACAGCACACAAACGCGCACGCCATGCGCGTATGGAAAACGCACGTTTTGCATTCGCGTTACGAAACCCGTTTGGAAGTTGTGTTGAGTGTCCACAAGTCCACATTCGCTGTCGGTTTATTTGTGTTCTCGAGGCAGGTTTGGAGGAGTTGATTGGAAAGAAAGCGTCGGCGCGCGTGCTGGCCAGTTGCGATTATAATCCGTCCGCAATGAAATGCGTGAAATTTTCCGCGCATTTAATGGCGACCGCTTTATTGAATTTGCAGTTGGGCGGGTTGTAGCACATTGCAGTCTCGGCTTGAGTGCAAACCTAGCTCCAGACCCTCGGGTCTGAAGGGTTGGCTGCATCGGACGTTCACTAGTCGAGTGGCGCGCAAAAAATGCAGTTCATGCAACCTCACCTCACCTCACCGTAGTGGGACGCGCCCGTTTGCGAATGCGACTAGATCTCTGGTGTCAGAATTTGCTAAGATTTTAAATTTGATGCTAGAGCACCCTTGTGAAAAGCAGCTTGCGCCCGGCTGCCACGTAGCCGTGGAGCGAATTTCATAAACAAAAACAAGGAGGAAAGCGGGGCCGTCAGCGCTGCGGTGAGCACAACCAAATTCGTGTCGGTCGCGCATACATGACGAACGAACCGAGCGACCGACCGAACGAAAATAAAAAATAACACGCACACACGAATAACAAAAGACGAGTAAAAATTGTCCGACTTATGTTTTTCGGTCGGCTAGTACAGTCGGCTCGCATTATGTTGGTCGTGCCTGTGCGCCGCGCCGCGTCGTGCTCTTCATTCGGCTGTGTGCGTGTGTACGCTTTTTTCTCGGGCGCTTCCCCGCACCGCTCGAGAAGCGAGCGGCGAACGAGCGCTTGGCGCGCAGGCGGCCGCGCATTGCCCCTCCCGCTCTCGTAGTTCCTGCGCATGAAACCCATGAAACCGTTCGGCGGCGTAACGGACGTAACCGGTCGGTCGGCCTCGTCTAACGCGCGGCGCTCGTATTCCGAAGCAAGGACGCCTCGATTGCAAAGCTGGAGAGCTCCGTCGACGTCGCGCTCTTTAGTCAACGTATACGGCCGATAGGCGGAGCCGCAACGTTTTCGGTATAGTCGACGAAGTCAGTGTGTGTTGTGTGGAGCGAAAATAACAAAGTGAAATGCGCTCGCACATATTACGACAGTGTTCGGTGTGCGTCGTCGACGATATTTATTAAATTCACAAGAAGTACATACGCACTAAAACATCGCCCGATCGGTGGTGCGAAAACACGCAGTATACGGACGGACGACAGTGACGCGACACGCGCGGAAGTGTTTTTTGATTTGCGATTTTCAGCTAAATTGAAAATCATTCGGCCCGCATCCGAATCGATTTCGACTCGCACTGCTGCACGACGCACAGAGAAGTGAAAACACGCATCGCTACAGCACAGTGCGCGCGGTGTGCTCTCGAGGGAAGTGTTTCAGGCGTTTCGGAAGAAATAAATTTCAGAGTGTGTTGCGTTAGGCCCCAGCCCCGCTTGGATGCAGGAGTTGGATGTGGTGTTGTATGAAATCTTTCAACGGAGGTGTGTGCGCGGCTGCTGAAATTGTGCACATTCGCGTGACACGGGTGCCGACCACACGAATCCGAGGAGGTGCGCGATAACGCGACACGTTCGCGACGCGCCGTGCTTCTCGTCCCGTGGCGTGTTTGCGCGGCACGCAGCGGCATCGGGCGCAAATGTTGTACGCGAGTGCCGTGGGGTGCGAGCCGATACATTGAGATCGGCGAAAAAGGCGTGTGGGCGATGTATTAATTCGCGAGATTGATGCGCGTTTGTGCAGCGAGGGGCAGCGACGAGGGCAGCGCGCTAGGACGGCCGACCGGCATCGACACCATGAAGTTGAAGCGGCTGTGTGTTTAGTGTTTGTCGTGTCGCCTGGCAAAAAACAAAATATATCAAATGAGGTGTCAAGGGCACAATGGTCAGAGAGACTAGGCACCTTTGGGTCGGAAACTTACCCGATAATATTCGAGAGGATCGCATACGTGAACATTTCAAACGGTAAGTGCGCGCGCTTGTTTATCCGGCTCCATACTACGAGTGTGCGAGTGTGTGTGTTTTTCCTCTCCATTTCTAGCCACCATATTTTTCATTCGTCTTGCATTCTATCCGTACACCTCGACGCCGTTCTATTACCGCATCGAAAAACATCTAGCGCGTCGGGTTAACCAGCCGCCAAACTGCGAGCGCGCTTGTGTCCTGGGCTGCTTGCTTTCCGAAGCCTCGAATTCGCATTTGCGAGCTTATGCCAACTAGCAATTACGACCACGACGTGTTTCGTCAATGTAGTCAATTCAGGTGTTCCCACATTATGTGCAATACCAATTCGCAACAATACCAGCGCGTTATTGCAATAACAAGTGCAGTAATAATTGCGTCTTAGCGTATCGCTCTGCATGTGTGGTAGGTTACGATCCAAAATCATAACTATGTTACTAATTGACTGATTTAACCCAGCCGCTTGTAATTTCGAGAGTTGATGTGCAATGACACTACACACACCAGCACACCACGCCTAGGAAGGTATTCGGCTGCAGAACTTCCTTATCGGCGCAGGTTCTAATCGTCCTCGAGCTTCTCTAGTTTCCGAAACGTAAAGATAATCTCGAGTTCAGTTGGCGGGGTCCATACGATGGTTTTATATTGGGATGTATCGGCGCTTGGAACGTCGCTCTACACAAAAACACGCTCAAGCTCCACGCTGTGCTATAACGGCACAATGTTTTCAGGTCGGCGCGTACACCCGCGCTCCTAAACGTATGTTGCGTCCATATAGCGATACGTACAATGCACAAGCCGACGTACGACGCACCGCGCCAAACATCGTTCCTACGATTTACAATTGTATCGGCAGCGAGAGAGCTGCGATTGTAATGTCCTGTTAGTGCTATTACCTGATTTTCGAATGCATTCTGCATCGATGTCGCGATCTTTAGCGCGAAAAGAATCATTTCCTCATCGGGCATAGAGGGCCAATGCGTAAGTAAAGCACGAATTGTGAACCGATCTTCACGGCGTATGCGAAGCCAGTACAGAAGACTGTTTTCGGGCTGTCATTACACGTAGAACTTAATGGAACGAAAGGTGCACGGGCTATTCCTACACGGCTAAGTATAACATGGACGTTTATAAAAAGCATCCTATGCCTGCGCCGTGCTTAATGCAAGTACGCGCGCAACTTGGCTGCTAGTCGACTTCGCTTCGCCCGTTTTGTGGTACGGAGCTCAATGTTTTTGCTTCGGATAATACTCTTCTCGGGCTTAGGCCGCAGCCGCCATGCTCTACGCCAGGCCGCCTCGTACTTGCGCTCGTCCGTCAACTACTATGCCGATGCCGACTTGCCGAGTCGAGTGGCGTTCTTGTTTCATTCCTCTGTTCGCCAGCTCAACCGGCTCGCAAGTTTTCTTCGCCTGCCGGTTTTGTCGCTCATTTTAGTAGTAATTTTCTTCTATTGGAGAATCATCCGGTTTCCTGAGTTTGAAGCTGCGACGAGCGTATTAGTCTATGCAGTGTGTATATTGCTCCGTGATACAAAACTCAACTCGTGGAGAATTAGTGATATTCGACGGCACAGAAAGGGACAGAAACCTGGGGAGTCCACTGCATTTTACCCTCGTTTTATAATTCATGCGGCGACGTTTGTGTCCCGTTCTTGTGCGTCTCGTAAACAGGCCCTCTAAGTACTCGCCTATGCATGCTTGTCGATTTGGAAACGTTTACCACGGCTTGCGCTTGTGCCACGGGTGCATTCCCCATGACCTGTGATCCATGCGTGGACGTGGAAACATCGCCTCGCTTCGAAGGGGTGCATTGGGGTGTCTCTCTGCGTTGCACACAGCTCCGTTTTTTCAATTGCTTTAATGTAACCCTTATTGTGGTAATTTTCATAGTCCCAGCTCGCTGGGGTAGTGTCGAGTGGTACGGTCGAATATTCGAACAAAAAGACGCTTCCAAGCCGAATACCTACCCAGAATCATAAAATAATAGACCGTACCATCCAATATTCTATTTAAATGTAAGTTTTGTAGCCTTGCACAACTTCGCAATACATACATTTTGGTTTTGGATACCAAAAATACGCAAGATGCATTTTCGACTGCGTTGTTATATAATTGTGGAACGGTGCTTCGACCTCACCCATTTCATTCACTCATTTTTATTTATATGCCACATAGGTTGAACGGAACTGCAATAAATTCACCGACATTTCTTACGAATTGTAACAATAATATCCCCTATTGTGCTCATATTTAAATTTAATAATGTAACCTTCGTCATAGATGGCTTGCTTCTTGGTAAAACATTTCTAATGTTTGCTAAACTTTCAACGGTTTTATCGTTTGTTTTGCAATTTTTTAAATACCTCCTCATATTCATATTATGTCCTAATGTACCAATTGACTCATCATTAGGTGATTATTCGGTTTACAATAGCAGGTGGATGTTTATCCAATTACTATACTTCTGCGATCACTAATGTTGATCTTCGTCAAATGTGCATTTAATGTTTGTTTATTCCTGAATCGAGTTACTGATACGCGCTGGGTATTGATCCATCGGTCAGTGCGAGTCGAGAGGCAGATTGTACAGTGCGTCGTTCTTTCGTTGGCGATGCATAATGACATCATAACACCATCACATGTGCCCAAATTGTATATGCCGGGGAGTTGATGGTCTACTCTAGTTGGAAGTGTTTAGATGAACGCCATTGTCGTTCATTTCATAGCTTACGTTCGTACATTACACTCTGAACGGCTCACACGTTGCAGAACGACGCTTACTCGAATGTGTTTTGTGTTTCACACGGTGTCGTATTCGTACATTTATTTAGTCAATAGTATATTGCGCCGGAGCGGTTTAAGCATATACGCCACGAGTAAGACGATACGCGAGCGCGCTGATATCCTGCGCGCGGTGCAAAACACACGGTGGCAATGATAGTGCTTTATCGTCGCGATGATAAGCAACCCTCGAGACGCAGAAGGTGGGCGAGTACGAGTCGACGGATACGTGGATGCGTGGCCGAAGAGTGCTGCTTTGTACGTCAAGCCACGCTGCAGACGTCTCCGTGGAAGGCCTTCGAGTGACATTAATGCATGCATATTCAGTATCAACATTCACGATTAGCCAGTACGCATCAACGTCATGCATGAGTTGTTTTTGTTCAGCGTGCGACTGTTTGATTTGCTTTTCACACCCGTAATAGTTTGACTGCTTAGTCGCTGCGATCGAGTGTTATTGCGATCAGGCGGTCATGCAACTTGCAGAAGCAGATGATCTACGAAGATGCCAATGTATCCAGGAAATCATCGCAAGTCGAACCCAGGATGCCAACCGGTTGGAATAACAAGTTATTGGGAAGTGGAGGACTAAATTTAAGTGCAAATAGGTGGTGTTTTAATGTGTTGGCTAGAATGAAAGCCGATACTGGCAAATTTGTAATCGTCTGTGGAACACTGGCATCCAATTGCTTAAGAAAAGTGTAAACAATTATTCGAGGGCTGTAAATATTAGTGTAACGCGTAGAAATGATTCACGATGACTACCGCGAGACCTTCTCAACATCGTCCTCGCCCAGCCTTCGGTCAGTTTAAATTTACGTAATGCATAATTATTTTTTGATTTCGTGCCGCGTGCATATCGCCGCCAATGCAGGTGTGTTTTGCACATTTATTAATTACAATAGTGGTTTGTTGTTGCTCAGCGCATTTCAGAATCTGAGTAGAATTATCTAAATGAATTATAATTGCTCGCCGGCGATTATTTCGATTATTATACTTGTTACCATAATCATCGTTATTGTCGTCGTTGCGTCCTCGCGGATACACTGATTACTCTTATTATTATTTTGATTGTTCGCGTTATTACCGCAATTCGGAATGCCCGTTTGCGCGGCGGCGGTGTCCCGGCCCAGCACGTCGTTAGCATTCTGCTATGGAAATTGCCGTAATTTCGTTTCCGTGTTATCGCTCCGTCAGTTTCAATTTCGAATGTACACTTATTCATCATCCAACGACGTCGCGGGGCGATGAGTATTGACCTGTTTGGATGCGATCGACCAACCGCCAGCACAACAATGCAGCAGCGTCTCCAATGTTTTTCGTTGACGTTACGCCTAGCCTCGATTGGCGCGCACTGGGAACTTTGAACCCACTACCATGGCAATAACGTACTGTAATCGCACGCGAGCGGAGCACAAAAAGCTAATGCAATAAATGTTGTTAATATGGACGGTGCCGGTGGTACGAATATCATGTGACACAGATGCATCCACGTACGAGCGGAGCCGAGCCGAACGTGGAATTACTATGCAAATAGATATTACAACTCAACTAGGACTAAATTTAACTGAATTATATATTTAAATGAGTATGACTCGAGTTTTGCGCACATGTTCGCGACTTCTCGTTGCATGCGCATTTTCGAAATTAAAATGAGTTTTCAACAATCCAGTCCCATTGGATTTATCTGCTCTACACTCGTGCGCGCTTTGTTATGTACCCTTTATCGAGAGTGTACCATGTTGGTACTTACATGTTGTGCACGATGGCGTGGTTATCGAAGGTAGGAATCCAACTTTCCCTTCGTTGTGTCTCGTGTTGCCGCGCATTGCCTGGCAAAAGTGTTTTATAAATTGCTAGAATACGGCAGTTGCAACTTTTGACGAACGCATTCTGGCACCGGCAGATGCTTTATTGGGGCTCCCCTTCTAGCAGATGTTTTACATCGATACGTGTTTTGACCGCTCGACGGGCTCGTGCCGTAAAATTTTTATATGTAATTTTACATTCTTGCCTTTACTATGTATGTCTGTAATTAATAATCAGGTTTGAATTAAAACCGTATTTTACGTGAGCCGAATAGATTGTTCACTAGATTAGATTCTTCAAAGTTGTCAATTTTTTTGGTTCAACGCGGACAAACCTTGTCTTTACGCGGTATTCAAGCATGTATTATCGGTGCATGTGGCGTTGGTTCAAAGGCTTTTGTATACATTCGTT